CTCTGGGGGAGAGGGAGCTTTATAGAGAAGCCCCCCCAGCCCCAGCAGCTCAGTGGCTCCATCCAGGACTCCAGGGTCTTTTTCCAGGCCAGCAGGAGTATCAAGCAGGTCTAGGGCTCCTGAGGATGGAGAAGGGCCAGGGGGGGCCCATCCTCGAGTTGGGGCAGTCTGGGATTCCAGCAGATCTTCTCCAAATTCCATGTCTACTGGAAGGTCTCCAGCTAGGGGCTTCTCTGGCAGGGTCAAGGGGTCAAACGGATTAGGGAAATCACTGGGGTCCATGAGGGTGGCTGGATATGGGCTGTAGATTAGAGGTAGAAGAGGAGGCAAAAGAGGTGGTCTTAGCCAGAATTCCTTCTTATATAGGCTCTGGGACACACCCCATCATCCACTTGGATTTCACGTGAACAGCCCTCCCCACCACAACCGACAAGCATTTCTACAAGCTTTAGTCCAAATGACCACTCCCCCTCCCCCCATACAGCGCCCCCTGTGGAGACAGGCGGTCCCTATCCTGGCCCTGTGCCCACACTAACCAGGCAGTCGTCGTCCCACCCTCCCGCCTGCCCCCCCCAACTCGCGACTGCAACTCCCAGTTCCCTTCCCCCCTTACCTTTCACACCCTCCCAACTCGGGCTGAACACCCCCTTAGTCTCCTAGGGCCGTCGCCACCAGGGGCCATTCTCACCCCTGCGTTCTTAGTTTCTATCTCCTTCTCACTCCCCTAAAGCCCTTCAGTTCCCTAGTCTTTACCCACCCTGTCTAGCCCCACCCCCCTCCCCCACATTGCCCAGTCCTCCCTCAGCCCTTCCCCGCCCCCACAAACTGCCCTTCCTAATCCCTCCCCGTTACCTTTCAGGGTCGCCCACTTCCTCAGAGCCTTCCACCTTTTCCCATTGCTCCCCTACTCCTCCCTTCTGTTGCCCACCCCCCACCTCAGGCATTTACAGGAAGACATTTTGGAGCTACGATCTCTCCTTAAAACCCCCTCCAGGCTAAAGCGAAATCCCGCCTGCAGGTTCGGTTCGGCTTGATCAGGCCCGACCCCTACCTGCGGCAGGGTTAGTGTAACGGCTACAAGCCTAAAACTGCAGACAGACGGCCCCACACTCCTTCTCCACCTCCCTCCCTAGCAGCCAGGATAGGGGTCGCGGCCCCTTTAAATGGCAGAGCCGCTCACAGCGCCCAGCGCTCTGCACCAGGCGGGCGGGCGGCGCCAGCAACCAACCCCATTGGCTGGCTCGAGGAGGGGGCTCGCGAGACAGCACCGGCCCCCGGCGCGAGACTCCCAGCCCAGAGGCCGCCTGGAAATTGCGGAGTGGAATATGGTTGTTGGAGATGGAGCTTGAGCCCCCGCCCGGGGCTCCGTTAGTTGAGGAGGAAAAGACAGCCTCTGGAGCTTTGAAGCCCACCCCCAGGAAAGGCGGCACCCCCTGTCCAACGAAGGGTTGAGTTCACTAACCCACAGAAAACACAGATCCACGCACCTGCTTCCCTTACCTGGACCAAGAGTCTGGCCCCCGTCACACCCGAGCCTGCCCTACCTCCTGGAGCCCACTCTACCCGTGATCCCCTCCTCTCATTCAAATGGTTCCCGGTCCCCTCCCCCTCCTTGTGTCTCTCTTCTCTTCCCACTCGTGTTCAACCCCCCCGGCGTCCAACCTCCCCCACTCTCCGCGTCCGTCCCCCTCAACAGTCCCTACCTACGCCATGCAGCAGGCGCCTACTAAGATTACCCTCCCCCCATCCCCACCTCTCTAGGGCCCGCCCCCTGGGCGACTGTTGGGGTAATGAGTGACAGCAGAGGGTGGGGGGGAGGCTAGGACTCAACCCTCACGTGCCCCTCCTCCCCTTGTCTGCAGCCTCTGGGTGGCCCCCCTAACCAGTCTGAGAGTTATAGTTATGGGGCGTCTTAAGGTTGGTCTTCAGTCACCCAAGTCGGTTTAAATGGCTCTGGCTCAGTGACAATGGCTATGCAGTAACCGTTACTGCCTGATGACCCCAAAATCAGGGCCTGTACAACCCCCCCCCCACACACACACACCCTCAGTGATCTAAAGGTAAGTTCTGAGATCTTCTCCAAGAGTCTTTCTGCAGAAGCTCCCTGCATTATCTCTAGAGTAGTTTTCCTCACCAGGGCTGATAGGTCTCCTTCCTTTCTCTCAGTCCCTCTCCCTCTCTTTCTATCCTGGTCTCTTCTCTCCCTCGCGCACTCTCTCTCTCTCTCTCCTGGTCTCTTTTTGTCTCGTTCTCTGTCTCTCAGCCTCGCATACCAAGAACACGCACGCGCACAAACACTCACGCTCCCCCTCCTGGATGGTCCTTAACGTGTGGGTGTGGCTGAGGTTGAGGCTAGAGAGGTGGGTGGGGGGAGGGGCACTAGCTTTAGGCCTACGGGCTTTAAAAATATGTGCAACGATCCCTTCTCAGTCTTTATTGCAATTAGAGCACTTTACAATCCCTCCTCCCAAGCATCGTTTCCAACCTTTAAGGGCTGTGGAGCATTTAATAGCTGAGGAACTAGAGAGTTCTGCTACAGATTTAGAAACAAGTTGACTTTGTGTCCAGTGCCTACTCTAGCCTGCCTTTTTGCCCTCAGGCCTCTTCTCCATCCCATGCGGGGCCTCTGCTAGCTTTATCATCCTTTGGAGTTTTATCCTCCCTTTTTCTCATTTACTTTCCCAGAAACCTTATCCTTCCTAGCTTCGTGCATGGCCTTGAAGTTATCTTTGCTCTCTTCTATATACAAGGATTAAAGCAAGATTTTTTTTTTTCCTTGTAAATTTCCCAAACCAGGTTTTCTTTTTATCTTTACCAGTATTCTGTGTACCCATCTTGAGTATTCTGCTTATTTCTATGTCCTTGTGCCTTTCCTTTCCTTTTCAGCTTGTTCCATCTCAGTAGAGCCACCTGGTTCTTTTGTATTGCTTGTCCTCATTAACACATGTTTGGGTCCTCCACTGCTCTGGTTGTGCAGAGTGACTTTCAAGAGGAAGGGAGACAATTAAAGAGTGGTTAATGGTATATTATTAATTCTAGAGGCAATGTGGTGGAGTAAAAAGTGTGTGGGTTCTGGAGGCAGATAGACTAGAATCTAATCTAAACTCTGCCCAACTTTTAGCCAGGTGGCATTAGACAAGTCACTTGTCAAGTCGCTGGATTTTAGTTTTCTCATCTTTAAAACAGAAATGAGGAAACAATCTAAATGTCCAATAATAAGGAATTAATTGAATCAGTTTTGGTACATTCACACAATGGATGTAATCATCAACAACCACATTTTAAAAAACTAGTAACAAAAAAATGCTCATGATATGTTAAATGAGAAAAAAAATGTTTAAAAATTCCAATTTTTGTACAAAAATCTTATATATATATATACACACACACACACACACATAGAAAAGGACTGAATACTCCAAAACATTAAGAGAAATTATGTGGTGAGAATACATGAGGTTTTTTTTTTTTTAATTTTCTGCATGGTTGTTAGTTGCCTTAGAGTGGATACCAATCATGGCAGCTTCAAGTGTTCAGAGTAGAGCTGCACCATAGGATTTTCTTCGCTGTAATCTTAATAGAAGCAAATCACTATGTAGATCTTTCAAGGCACCTCTGGGTGGGTTCCAACCGCTAACCTTTCTACTCGTGGTCTAGTGAGTAACTGTTTCTCCACCCAGGGATTCCATTCCCACTTTCTACATTATTGCTCTTTTCTAATTTATTATTATTATTATTTAAATCTATATGTTTTAATGGAATTTGAAAATATTAGGCTTTATTGGTTCTTCAACAAAGTCAACATCATCAAGGTTACATCTTCATCCTTGGGGAGAAAGCAGAGTCTTACCGAGATATCCTTGAACAAGCACTCTGCTCCCACCCTTTAAAGTATTTTTTTTTATTATTATTATTGTGATTTGGGTGAAAATTTACAGAGCAAATTCACTTTCCATACAGCAGTTCACATACACTTTGTCTCATTACATTGACCACAATTTATCACAATGCAACAGCTCCCCTCCCACTTCCTCCCGATAGTTACCTCTTCCCTGTGTCCATCCCTCCACGCCCTCCTGCCCGCTGAGCTTTCTCCCTGTGCATAAGCAGCCCTTCTTTCTCCCATGATTGTTCTCGCCAAGGAGTGTATCTACCTCAGGTAAAT